TCTCCATTGTCTTTCGGTGGGCTATTTTCCACAAGGTTTCTGATGTGAAGAAGTTCCTCTCTGCTATATTGTATAGCAGAGTTGGTGCGGTCGGCTTGCATGTTGTGAACCATGTTAAAAGCAGACGGCAAAAAGTAAACACTGAAAAAATACGAAAAAGGGCAAAGTTGGAGAGGAGCCAAAAGACAATGCGGCCATCTTTACCGGTGCATTTGTTCAACTTGTACTCAGATTTTGTACTTGAGTAAAAGTAGAAGTACACAGATTTTGTACTTGAGTAAAACTAGAAGTACTCAGATCTTGTACTCAGAATTTCATTCAAAATGTTACTCAAGTAAAAGTAGAAAAGTATTTCCATAAAAATACACCAAAAGTACCAAAAGTAAAAAAAAGTATCTTATAGGTTTTATTATTTTTATTATGTGTTCCTTTATTTTTCTGTGTGGGATCATTATTTATTGTATTAATTATTTTATTGTTATTATCATACCTTTCTTACCTCCTTGTGTCCCTTGAATTGTTATATTATGCCTTTATGCTGCATGTCTGAAAAAAGGTTTATTTTTGTTAATTTTAGAAGTTTAACCGCAGCTGTAAAAAGTAAATTGTTAACCGTTTTGCCAAAATAAAGATACTCAGAATTTTTATTTTTCATTCATTTTATTAACAAAAACATGACACCAGAAAAGCCATAACCCCAACACCAGAATCACAAGGAGCTGAACACAAAATGATACGACTGATCCCTGATAAACTCAAACACATAAATATATCAGCAGGTCTACTGACCAAACATTAAAGGAACAGTTTGACATATTTCTGGGGAAATCCTCCAGTTCTGTCTTTAATGGTTAACCTGGCTAACAACCCTCTGAGAAGCCTTCACTGTCTGGGAGAAAGGAAAGGACACTTAGCAGGAAGGTGTGCATAATTAGTCCTATACATCATCATCATCATCATCATCATCATCATCATCATCATCATCATCATCATCATCATCATCATCATCATCATCATCATCATCATCATCATCATCATCATCTATATCTGTTGTTCTACAGTCACAGAGACCTTCATTGGTAACACCTTGAGTGGGGGTCCATCCCAATTGTAAATGTATGGAAACAGCCTCTCAGTGAAAGTGTGTGTGAAGGTGTGTATGTGTGTGTTAGTGTCAGGATCAGAGAACGACAGCTTTCCTCTGTTCCAGTCCAGATCCACTCTGACCCTCTGGGGCCCCTTCTGCAGGCTGAGAGGAGTTTCTGGATCTGGTGGTGACTCTGCTGAGTATTCACCTTGATTATAATCTATTCTCCATAATCCAGACTCTATGTCTCCCTTCCTCTGGACAGACTCTGCTAACACACCCAGTTCCCAGATTTGACTGTCTCCAACCTGGACTTCCCAGCTGTGAGTCCCTGAGTTAAAGCCCTCAGAGCTCAGGACAGACCAGTAATCATCAAACCTCTCTGGATTATCAGGAAGTTCCTCCTTTCCTCCTCCTCTCACACTGGTCAGATCTTCAGACAGGATGAGTTCTGGATAAGCAGTGTTTGGGTCCAGGATGAGAGGAGAGTAGGACACCAAGTCCTTCATCTTGCTCCAGATGTTGAAGCTGAGGTTGCCCAGGTGTTTGGCCTGGTCTATCAGAGCTCCTGAGGGCAGCTGTGGATCCTCCAGCAGGGGGCGCTGCAGCCTCTCCACTGCAGCCTTGTAGTTGAGCAGGAAGGAGACGTCTTCAGCTCTCAGCTCCTCCTCTGTGGCTCTGACTGTGTGTGAAAGAGCTGCTATCTCTCTGCTCACAGCCTCCATCTTCTCCTCCATCATCCTCCTCTTCTGCTCCTCTTCCTCCCTCAGTGCAGCCATCCTGGCCTCCTCTTCCTCTTCTAGAAACTGGTGAAGCTTCTTAAACTGCTCCTTAATCTGTGTCTCTGTGCGTCGAGCCTGGACCTTCAGGTGTTCTGCTGTTTGATCAAACTTCACTTTAACTTCTTCTAAAGTCTCTAACTTCTTCTTGAAGGGCTGCAGAGTTTCCTGGAGCTCCTCTTTGAGATCCTGAGCAGCTTCATCGATGGGTTTGAAACTGTGTTTTTTGTGGATCTTTGAATCTCTGCAGACGACACACACTGGCTGCTGATGGTCCAGACAGAAGAGTTTGAGTTTCTCAGAGTGCAGACTGCAGAGAGCCTCTGGAGATCTCTGACCTCTCTCCTGTAGGAAGGTCTCACACAGGTTCTTTAACACCAGGTTACAGGGAGGTTCATAAACTGAAGATCTCTTACAAAGTGGACACTCTTTGATGACTTTCTCCGTCCACCAGTTCTGCAGACAGTCTCTACAGAAGCTGTGGCTGCATGACAGGACCACAGGATATTTAAAGATGTCATGGCAGACAGTACAGCAGAGATCTTCCTCTAATCTGGAAGCCATGTTGTCTGTGAGTGAAGCAGTAAACTCAGCAGCAGCTGCTCCCTGTTCCCTGAGACTTACTTTCACTTTGAGTCTTTGTTCTGGTCAAACTCTCAGTGTGTGGATTCAGCAGCTGCTTGAAGTGGAAGGTATTCCAGTATTCCCTCCTGTTGACGTCCTCTCAGTGGAAGAGGTGTGTTTGGTGTGAAGTTGAATCGTATAGTCCGTGTGTGTGTGTGTGTGTGTGTGTGTGTGTGTGTGTGTGTGTGTGTGTGTGTGTGTGTGTGTGTCGTCTCAGCGAGGCAGAATAACAACCTGTTTCCTGGTTAGTCACATGCGAGTCAGGTGATAGGTGGAGCTTCATCATGACAGTTTATCAGGTTGAGTTTCATTCAAAACGCATGAGTCATCTGTACACTGCGTCTGTCTCTGTTTTCTTTGTCATGCTTCTTCAACAATTATGTTTGAAATGTTTTTTAAATATGTCTGAAAATACAGTACCTCAACTCCAACATAGGGTTACAAAACTAAGATAAATCTGCCTTTTTGTAACTAAATACAAATACAAATGTTTGTCCATGATCCAACCTGCTAGGACAGAACTCCAGCTATATTTATCCCAGTCCATACTAAGTACAAGATCTGAGTACTTCTACTTTTAATCAAGTACAAGATCTGAGTACTTCTACTTTTAATCAAGTACAAGATCTGAGTACTTCTACTTTTACTCAGTTACTTCTTCCACCTCTGAGTACTTTGTACAGCACGATGTATGAATTCATTTGGGAATTAAATGTGTTAGTTGATGGTATTTCCGTCAAATAATATGTATTTAAACACACAATAAAAAGGGATTTAAATAAATAGTTTGACGCGAGACATAACAATCTTAGAAATACTATCAGTGTACCAGTGTTTACATGTTTGTACACATAAAGCCAAGTACATTCTTTACACTGTTTAATAAATATATATCTTTATTCACATCAGTTCAGAGTTACTTTAAGCATCTCTACAGTCTTGCATCACCACACATCATCATAGATCAAAGGCACCTGATTTTGCAGCTTATTTGTGGAATTAAATATTTTTCTTAAAGTGGACCTATCATGCTATATTTGAATAATATAGTGTAGGACCATACCTATATAAGGCATATTTATACTTTTTTTTTTTCAAAATACCAAACAGATCATGCATTTTAGCCATGCCTCATTTCGCTCAATTTGACATTTTATAGCTCTGTTTTTGCAGATTCTGTGAGAACAGCACCATCTACAGGCCTGGCATATGTACTACAGCGTCTCCAGCGCTTTCGAACGGCAATGGCCGTGGCTGTCTCCTCCTGATTGGTGGAGTTGGCCCAATAGCCGTAGCGCCACCGTCCTGACGTCAGGACAGTGTTCAAATCTGGATCAGTTTTTATCAGATCCGTTGCAGCCCCTTTTTTAGAGATTTGGGTATGGAGGAAAATAGAGAGGGTTGTGTTTTCTGACACTTGGTGAGTTCCCTGGAACACCGGGGACACATATTCATGTAGAAAAGACGTACAAAAGTGCATTTTGCATGATAGGTCCCCTTTAAATAATGATGATGTAATTAAACAGACAATAAACACAAAGCACCTGCTACTGCAACAAAACACAAGAAAGCACCAACAGATGGATCATTGATCAGTCTGGAGTGCGATAATGACACATTAAACAAACCTTATACAGAACATTAACAGCAACATGATAAAGCTAACATATCAGTAATAAAGTTTATTCAAGTATTATTTCCTCTCTGATATGTTTGAATACATTCAACTTCATTTAAACTCCATGGAGCTGCTCTGCGTGTTTTAACAGATGATTCTGACACGACACATTACATATAGGTGGATTATTGAATAAAAGGTTGCATTTTTAAACCTCTTTGTACTCATTTTGCTCCATTTCTTAACAGTGTTGTGTCTATGTGTCCGTGGTTATGTGTCTTTGTGTTCATTTCATATCTCATTTCCTGTCTGATTGTGACCATTTTGCACCTCTTGCAGCAGTTTAGTGTCTATTTGTCTGTATTTTAGTGTCTTTGTGTTCATTTTGTTTCCCTTCTTTAGTCATTTAGTGTCTCTTTGTATCATGTAGTGTCCCTTTGTGTGATGTAGTGTCCCTTTGTGTGATGTAGTGTCTCTATGTATCATGTAGTGTCCCTTTGTGTGATGTAGTGTCTCTATGTATCATGTAGTGTCCCTTTGTGTGATGTAGTGTCTCTATGTATCATGTAGTGTCCCTTTGTGTGATGTAGTGTCTCTATGTATCATGTAGTGTCCCTTTGTGTGATGTAGTGTCTCTATGTATCATGTAGTGTCCCTTTGTGTGATGTAGTGTCCCTTTGTGTGATGTAGTGTCTCTCTGTATCATTTAGTGTCTCTCTGTATCATGTAGTGTCCCTTTGTGTGATGTAGTGTCTCTATGTATCATGTAGTGTCCCTTTGTGTGATGTAGTGTCTCTATGTATCATGTAGTGTCCCTTTGTGTGATGTAGTGTCTCTATGTATCATGTAGTGTCCCTTTGTACCATTTAGTGTCCCTTTATGTGATGTAGTGTCCCTTTGAGTGATGTAGTGTCCCTTTGTATCATGTAGTGTCCCTTTGTGTGATGTAGTGTCTCTCTGTATCATGTAGTGTCCCTTTGTGTGATGTAGTGTCTCTCTGTATCATGTAGTGTCTCTCTGTACCATGTAGTGTCCCTTTGTGTGATGTAGTGTCTCTCTGTATCATGTAGTGTCTCTTTGTATCATGTAGTGTCCCTTTGTGTGATTGTTTGTCTCTCTGTATCATGTAGTGTCCCTTTGAGTGATGTAGTGTCTCTCTGTATCATGTAGTGTCCCTTTGTGTGATGTAGTGTCTCTCTGTATCATGTAGTGTCTCTCTGTACCATGTAGTGTCCCTTTGTGTGATTGTTTGTCTCTCTGTAGTCATTGTGAACCTCTTTTTTCTACCTAAGTGTACATTATATAGCTGAATGCCATGTGTTCAGTAATCACAAAGTTCCTGGAGTGTTTTCAGTGTCCTGTAGCTTCCTCTGTATAAACTCTACTTTCTGCCCTCTCACTTCTAATAATTGTGTGTGTTTTTCGGGTGGATAAACTGTCTAATTGTTGAAATAGTAGAATAAATAAAATAATTTTAAAAAGTCCGTGTCTCTTTGTGGTAGCATTGCATCTTTTTAAAAATCATTTTGTCTTCCTTTTGGTGATTCTCTGTGTCTTGAACTCATTTTGCGTCCCTTTTTTTTTTGCGATTTGAATCCCTTCATATGCATAAATCCCCTAAACCCCGCACTTTATTCTCAGTAGCGCATGTTTCTCTCCGCCTCGCTGCTGCTGCTGCTGCTGCTCTTCCTCCTCCTCCTCCTCCTCTGTCCTCCGTCAGATTTCCAGCTGAGTTCCTGCGTTGGGTTGAGGACCTCTGCTCCCGTCTCGATGCCCAGAACCTGCCGCTGCACCAGCTTGAAGTAAAGCCCCTCGCTGGCCATCAGCCGGCTGTGGGACCTGGGAGAAATAATCAATATATTGTGCCGGAATTTTAAAGGTCACGTATTATGCAAAATCCTCTTTTTCCTGTCTCTTCTACATCAACACGTGTCCCCTCTTTTTCATGTCTCTTCTACATCAACATGTGTCCCCTCTTCTTCATGTCTCTTCTACATCAACACGTGTCCCCTCTTCTTCATGTCTCTTCGACATCAACATGTGTCCCCTCTTCTTCATGTCTCTTCTACATCAACATGTGTCCCCTCTTCTTCATGTCTCTTCTACATCAACATGTGTCCCCTCTTCTTCATGTCTCTTCTACATCAACATGTGTCCCCTCTTCTTCATGTCTCTTCTACATCAACATGTGTCCCCTCTTCTTCATGTCTCTTCTACATCAACATGTGTCCCCTCTGTGTAAAGAGACTCTGAAAGTTTCAGGAAAAAAGATTCTCTCTCTTTTTGATCCATTTATATAAAAATCTGTCTGAATATGAGCTGATCAGATTTTGGCCACTTTATGATGTCATAACGATGTGTTGTCTTGTGTAACCATTAGCCAATCAGCAACCAAGGTAACCCCCCCCCCCCCCCCCCCCCCCTTATCACCTGAATCTCCTCCTAGAGCACCATTAGGGGCGTTCACACCAAGTACTTTTCCCACAGTAGTTCATGAGAACTTTAGTTCATGAGAGCTCTTTTAGTTCTGATGAACTAAAGCAGATCGCATTCACACCAAAATGAGTTCCTGGGGGTGGATTAGGCAAATGAGCCGCTGACGTCACTTCTTCTTCTTCTGCTTTGGGTTTACTGGCAGGCCGCATACAACTTCACGGCGAGTACAGTAGGTGGCGGTATGCACCTTAAAGTTGCAATTCGCCAAAAAACCGAGAGAAGAAGAAGAAAAAAAATTCCGCTTCCGCTGTATGCTTCTGTTTACCTTCCGACCTCAGACACGGTATGGTGTTGACGTTTTGGTGCTCGTGTTATACAGCTTCGTAACTGAGTTATTTAAGCCAATAACTCAGCCACAAATACAAATACAGATCGACCATTCAAATGCAATAGAAATGCTGAGTCGGAGGCGAAGGCGGTTAAGAAGCCTTAATAAAAGGATTGGACCACGAAAAGCACACGCTATGGACATGTTTCGCCGTAGGACAGCTGAGCATGATGACCGTTATCACGCCCAAAGAACAGCAATGGTACGTTCATTAAATCACATTAATACTATCTAATGTAGGATTTATGGAGTTATGTAGGGCTAATTTGTGTCTTTGTATGTGTTCCAGATATGCGAATACTACGGAACGCGTCGTGTCCCGCGCTCTCTCTGGGTGAACAATAGAACATCGGCCTGGTGGGAGAAGGTGGTGCCAACGTACACCAAAGTGCAGTGGATCAAAGATTTCCGAATGTCCAAGGGCTCTTTTCAACTCCTCTGTATTGGCCTGGAAGCAACGTTGGGGAGACGCAACCTAAAAAAATCGCCGCGGGGCAAGACACGCGCACAGCCCTTGAGGCATCTGAACAGCATGGAAATTGTAAATTGACAATAAAGCTGATATTTTGTACAGTGCATTTGGTTCTCTCTTTTATTTACCACAGTCAACAGACACAATTACAATAGTGCAGACACACCTTAGTGCAAAGATTAAATGTCAGTATCAAAACAGTACTCATACTGTATATTTGTATATTAATATGAGTATATTATTATGTTAAATGTGTGTTAAAGACAATGGGATGAGGTTGAAAGCTCTTTAAAAAGCTTTTGTATACCATCTTTACTATGATAAATACATACATGTTAAGCATACACACCTGAAGAACTACGTTACACACACACAGGTTAGTCTGTGTACCGCTGCACTGCTGCTGGTTTAAACAAAGACAGTCATGATGCTAGTGCCGTGCATGTAGGTTCCCTTTTATTTATCAGCAGCAGATCAATAAGTGTCAGTAGTATCAAAACAATATAATAACAGTGGCAATATATATATATATATAATAACAATAGGTAGGCTCAGCAGCAGACACACCTTAGTGCAAAGTTAGGTGTCAGTATTAATAACAGTGGCATATATATATAATCACAATAATACAAAATGAACTGTCACAGGTGTAGGCAATTTGGGGTGAAGTGTCTTGCCCAGGGACACAACATCCTGACTGCAGTGGGGTTTGAACCTGTGCTCCCCTGATCCGAACACCAACGCACCAGACCACTGCACCACACGCCTCCCAACAAGTCATTGTACAGTTTATCAACGACGACAAGTTTTTCTTAATTTTTGTATTGAAGGCCTGTTGGATTTAATCAGCTCGCTTAGCACTGCCAGAAGCCCAGCCAGAAAGGTATTTTGTTGCTCCACCTCGATTCCTGGGCCTTGTGTGAATGCAGCAGCCGTTCGTCGTGCATCTCCTTGGCACGCAGGTCCTCATTCTCCTTGCTGACCATGGCACGGCGGTCCATCGCCATGATGGTGTCAAGGAAGCTGTCATCGCGTGCCCACTTTCCTAAGGTGAAATATGCAAGACACAAGATCAGTTTAATCGCAACAACGAGACAACATTGTCCAACATTGGACATGGCGCAGGCAGGGACAGTGTACAAAATGTAGGTGTAAAGTAGAAGATCAGATAGGATCAAATAATATAAAATAAAAAATAAATATCAAAGTGCCCTTATTTATTGTTTTGTGCTTAATGTATGCTTGAACTTTGTTTTATAGGGATTAGTGGACATCAGTTAGATGTGTAACCTTCTTTCAAGGCCAGAGTAGTTACAGTGTAAGTGGATTGACATCTAACATAACATGGCTGAGTACAATTATAACAATCAATAAAAAAAAAGGAAAAATAAATAGAATTTCAATTACATTTCTACTTAAATATGCAAAATATTAGACCATCAGTCTTTGTGGCATGCAGGTAATCAACTGTTTAAGCTTTTACCATTAACATGTAGAATGAATGTTGCAAATGACTTGAAATTATAGCAACTACCATGTTAGAGGTAACATTATGTCCAGCTAGCATGCTAATTGCTAACGTTATATTATCGTTTTATCCCGGAGGGGAAAACTAGTTTCTAATCCTGAGAGAAACACCTCGCCTGAAACACACGATTAGTGCCATGAGTTAGTGAAGCAAATTACAGAACATTGCACACTTATTCACAAGTCAAAACGTGTTCATAGCGGTTACGGCTGAGAATAGCTAGCTAGCTAGATGTTGTTAGCCAGCTTGGACCTAACGATAGCAAGTTCTAGCATGGCTAGCTCGATCTACTGAGCAAATAGAAGTACATCTAAGACCAGTATTGTGCAGATTAAAACAGTGCAGTGCCTGTATTTTATTTTACCTTCGTAGTCGTCCCGACATGACTTTGCCAGGTCTGCTAACTTTGCTGAGCCACGGAAACTGCATTCAGTAGAAGCTTCTGAATGCGGCGCTTCACGTCCTCCGAGTAAATCACCAGAAGCGCCGACACATCCTCATCACTCCACCGCTCCGATGATTTATTTAGTGTTGCTATAATAACTGCTTTCACAAAAGTAATCTCTTCGGGTGCGCTGGCCGAAGCAAGCAAATACAATGGCCGCTTACAAAAAAAAATTCAGAGTCAAACGGGCGTGGTTTGCATTCCGCACAGCCAATCAGACGTACGAACTATTTTCTCCCACGACAGTCCCTGCTCTCTAGCAGGGACTGATAAGCAGGTCGGACAAACTAATTTGAACTACTTTAGTTCCTGGGGCTTTTTGGTGTGAACGCAAATATATCGTAGTTCTGATGAACTATTGTGGGAAAAGTACTCCAAAGTACTCCGGTGTGAACGCGCCTATTGTATTCTTTTTAACCAAATATCTCTCAGAGGGGCGTGGGGAGGGGCTCCTTATTTTCATCTAAAGTAACAGACAGAGAATCAGCACTTTGGAAACAGGGCTGAAACAGAGGGGGTTATGGGATGCTGCAATGATCTGTTTGGTGTTTCAGCCAATCAGAGACAGGTTCTGTATATATCTGAGACCTGTAATATATTGATGAAAAACAGTATAACAGGGGACCTTTAATAAATACTGTTGAACTTTTCGAGAAGCTTCCTGGTCTTCTTTAGACTAACTCTTGGTCTTCAAACAAAAGAACCCAACAGACCCCTGCTCGGCCACGCGGCCGCTCTCGATGACGATGATGTTGTCAGCCTTCTCCACCGTGCTGAGCCGATGGGCGATCACCAGCACCGTGTGGTCCTGCATGATGCTGTTCAGAGCCGTCTGCACCTGAAGAGAGGAGACATAAACCGACTGATCTTTAACTCGTTAGGATCCAAACGCTTCTTCTGTCATATGCAAAATAGCTACTGGTGACTTAGCCATTTGTCACGTGACCTAACATTACATAACATTTGCTTGCATTTGAATTGTGATGCATTCACTTACTGCTGCTCTTTTTTTAGAACTTCAAACAATAATACAGTACAATATATCTTTCAGTCACATCCACTACTGTATTAGTAGATCCATTACAGGGGCCTATCGCTTGATAAATGTATTTTTATGTAGGCGTAATAAATGTAATAAAATATCCGGCCTCTTCTGGGGTTAGATGGTTGTGTGTGGATCTCTGCTACTCGGCTACCAGGCCTCGGTGTGGACCCGCAGTCCTCCGACGGTGTGGGTAGAGGTCCTGCTGCTAGGTCGGCAGCCGTCAGCGTGACACCGTAGAGACCCGCTGGTGGTGCTAGCTGTCCAGCTAGCCAGCCTCTTCGGAAACCGGCCGGCGGCGTGTGGAGCTCGGCGGCCGGGCCGCCAGCTGTCCGGTCGATGGAAGCAACGCCGGGACCCGGACACGGGTGGATATCACCCGAGAGCAAGAGACACCGTAGAGCCAATAGCCCAATATTCTCCTTTTTTAGTTTGTGTCCCTTTTTTGTGTTGGAGAGAGTCTGCCAGGAGTGCCAGATGAATGTACTGTATATTACTTGCCGACCATGGCCAAAGTGCTTGATATTCAGCCATGTTGCTGGTGCAAATAATGATGTATCCCCCGCGTGTTGTTTTACCAAGGGGGCAAGATCATAGATATATATATAAACACTAGATGACTCACCCGCGCTGCTGGCCAATGGAGACCGACGTTGCCACATGGCCGCCATCTTGCTACTGGCAGTGCTCTCATTCATAACATTATGGTTTACTATTTAAATAACCATAGCTTGCTCAATTTTCAACCAATTTTCAAACGGTTTGGTTTTTTATAAACATCAAAGATGTAGTTATGATACTGCATACTTATAATCATGGACTTTCATATGAAAATAACATTAAGCAGATAAAGCAATAGCTATACACACACACACAAGGTATTTCTATTAAATATTTGCCGGTGTATATATTTCCATTTATTTTATTATATTGTTAATATTTAAAATAAATTATAAAATTAAAATATATTTATATTTTATATATAAAAATCGGTCTCATGTTACCACTCTGTAAGCCAAGAGTTGTTAATTTAGCAATGCCTTAGCTTGAAGAACAGGGACACAACTAATGACAATAGCATATGGTGGTATATTATTTAGATATTCACACCTTTATCAGAAGAACCAAACCAACATAAAATGAGCTCACAGACAGGCCAGTTCTGTCTCATTTGTCACAATTATTTTTGACATGAGATCTTCATATCGTCCTAGTTTTGTATTTAGTTTCTAGATTTGTAAACAAATCCAGAACCTTTGAAATACGTTACCACTTCACAGCACGGTGCGCTGAGTTCTTGTAGTCGAAAAAAGCCCAAGAATAATATAAACTGTACCCTGTGTCCTTTTGTGTCCTTCTGTAGTCCATTTACTGTTGTTTGTCTTACCCCGGCTGATATCTCACTAAATCCACTGTTTTAATGGTTCCCTATATTGCCCCTATGCCCTGTAAGGTGTCCTTGGGTGTTATGAAAGGCGGCCCCCCAAAATAAATGTATTATTATTGTTGTATCTTGTGATCAATAATTGTATGTCCACAACATAGGAGTAGATTTAACTGGTTTTACTTTTGTAACATGCTTCCGGGACTTCCTCGTGGGAACATGTTCAACAGGCTCTTTTAATACCAAGAGTGAGTTTGCCCCCTGCTGGACAAATGCAATAACATGTAATAATAACACAAGGTAAGATACCACATTTCCCCCCCTTTAAGCTAGCAATACTTCCCGAAGGTGGGGGTATAACATACTCCCGTTACACAACATTTCGAGGTACTGGCATAAACCATTTCACTTTCAAAGATGAACATTCTAAACATTTCCTTAAAGTGAGATCAGAGAACTATGCTGCTCTAATAATGGAACATCTCTTGATCTATTTAACAAAGTCTTTCAGGTATACAGGTGGCTGTCTCTCGCGCTCTGATCGTCTCACCACGGGTGTAGCAGGCAAGTCCGGCGGGACCGGAGTACACAGAACCACTGGCTCACTTGCAGGAGGTCCTTCTTGCTCGATTGTCACTGGAACCACAGTGTCTCTGTTGGAGTCCAGCACCGGCTCTAAGGGGACGGTGTCTGTTAATCTGGCTCTTACTTGATCCACATGCCGCTTCACGACTTGACCACTTCCAATGATCACTGTATATGACACTGGACCTGATGAGCTCTCGATGACCGCAGCGATCCATTTAGGTCCATAAGAGTAGTTTCTGATGAACACTTTATCCCCAGGTGAGAAACGTCTCAGTTTCCTGTTTGTGTCATGGGACTGTTTCTGTTTTAGTTGTTTTTGCTGCACTCTTGTTTTCACATCTGGCAGGAGCAGGTCTAATGCAGATCTGAGTCTCCTTGACATCATCAACTCTGCAGGCGACAGGCCTGTGGTCGCGTGAGGTGTGATGCGGTAACTGAACAGAAACCTTGACAGTCTAGTTTGCAATGTTTCACCTTTCATCTTTTTCATCCCCCCTTTGAAGGTTTGGACCGCCCTCTCTGCCAGCCCATTAGAAGACGGGGGAAACGGTGCTGACCTCACATGGCGGATGCCATTTTGTTTCATGAAAGTCTCAAATTCAGCACTTGTAAAACAGGTTCCGTTGACTTCCTCGTGGGAACATGTACAACAGGCTCTTTTTAATACCAAGAGTGAGTTTGCCCCCTGCTGGACAAATGCAATAACATGTAATAATAACACAAGGTAAGATACCACAATTATTATTAAGAAGAACCACTTGGTGTGGTGTGGAGGGGATGTAGGAAGCAGGGGCAGGTGGGGAGAGATGGGGCTTCAAGGTTCAAGGTTATTTTGTTTTAAATGTGTCTTGGAGATAAGGACCAGCTGCACACAATAAAATACAGTATAACACAAAACCAATAAGACACACGGTGACACATGGCACACCAACAATCAATCATCGTCCAGCCTCAGCTTTGGTATTCTTTCACAACCATTTTATGGGTTTATTAGACAGACTGAGCAAACATAAACATATGTGGGGAACATAGTGCTGCGTATCAGGGCTGCGAAGTGCAGAAAAAGGCAAAGGAGGTAGAGAGATACAAAGTTTCATATGCTGAAGCAACAGAAAAGGTTCATTAAAGTAACATTAATGACATATGTTTAGCAGGCATGACCTTTGCTATGACAGAAATTATAATTAGGTCCTTCTTTGGGCGATTTTCCTAATGTGGTTAAAGTGCAAAACACAATAAATCATAGACGACAAGTGGGTCGAACAGCTGACCAAAGTTTTTAACTACTAACTATATACATAAATATAAGTCATATGGAATATTAATGTTAAATATTAAATATTGAACAGATTGTATATGTGTAATATGTACAACGTGGTTATATTCAAGATAAACTATGGAGCAGAGAGTTATCTTCCAGCCAGAGGTGATTTGTTGTACAGAGTTATGGCACTGCGGAGCTGCAGCAGTCTGTTGGAGAAGGAGCTCCGCTGACTGTCCAGCTGCAGGTGGAGAGGATGGGTGGGGTTATCCATGATGGACAACAGCCTGTTCAGTGTCCTCCTCTCCACCACAGCTTCAAAGGGGTTCAGCTTGATGCCGATGACAGACCCAGCTTTCCTGATCAGTTTATTGATCCTGCTGGTGTCACCGGCTCTGATGCTGCCCCCCCAGCAGACCGCAGCAAAGAAGAGTGCACTAGCCACAACAGACCGGTAGAAGATCTCCAGCATCGTGCTGCACACGTGGAAGGATCTCAGCTTCCTCAGAAAATAGAGTCTGCTCATCCCCTTCTTGTACACAGCGTCAGTGTTGATCCTCCAGTTCAGCCCATTGTCTAAGTGCACTCCCAGGTATTTGAAGTCCTCCACAACAGCCACATCCTCTCCCAGAATGCACAGGGGCAGAGGAGGAGACGTCCTCACCCTCCTGAAATCAATGACCATCTCTCTGGTCTTGGCCACATTCAGAATTCTCACAACATTAGGCTGAGGTTCATCTTCCGCTCTTCTTGAAGTGGTTGTGCTTCTTGTTGCTTCCGGCTAAAATAAACATAATTAAAGACATTTTGAGTGTTTAAAATGTGCTGTAATACACAACACATTATTTATTCCTAAAGTTGCAGAAAGAAAAACTAAAGTGTGACATTTAATCACATATTTATATATCAATCTTATACACCTTGAATTCTTGTTGGCCAATGATACACATACCCTTTGAAGATGAGCTGGGAAGTTGAATACGGTTGGCACAACACCATCTTTAAGCCGGACAGTCTGCCCCGTCCTGTCAAAGTCCTCACAACTGAAGTGATCACTGCAGAGCAGTGTCCTGCCACAGGAAACAAAACCGTCCCTTCTTAGGGCAACTTCCCACTGCCTCCTCCTCTCTCCGGTTTTGGGAAACCTTAAAAACATGAGAAAGGTAGCCAGATATATAAATAATTGTCAACATTTTCCTCCCTTCTTTCCTTTAACATTAAGGGTAAGGACAAAAATACAAACCGAAATTATCATATTTTTGGGGTAATTGTATGTATGTATGTATGTATGTATGTATGTATGTATGTATGTATGTATGTATGTATGTATGTATGTATGTATGTATGTATGTATGTATGTATGTATGTATACTTTAAGAATAAGACAACCACACTAAGAGTTATAAAAAAGGTGTCCAAAAGAAACATTAAATAATTGTGTAAAGAAATGGTAGCAACATATTCTAAAGAGGCTGGGTCAACAACAATCTTGCAATACTATTATTTCACATAGCCCCACTGATCCTGTGTAGCAGGACTTGTAATGCACATACATCCACTAAGTAATTAACGATTATCCTAATTATAGTCATAATATTGTCATATCTTACACGTGAAAGGTGATTCCGCGGG